CCCTGCAGTCCGCAGAAAATTCTCTCTCCACGGAACTGGTCCCTGGTGCCCAAAAGGTTGAGGGTATAGCCTCTAGCATACTATTCTGTAAACTTTAGTTGTCCTAGTGAAGAGAATACTTGACTGTGGAACTTGGTGTCAGCTTTTTGAGAACACCCTGGGACAAATCCTACCATATCAGCTGTTGAAAAGGAACGGAATCTGCCATGCCACAGTGGAAAAACACAAACACCACTCTGTGCTTCAAATCAACCAGCACTACGTAGTCTTATCTTTGTGAAGTTGTTTCTTAAGTGGCCAGTCTATTAAGAAATGACACGTGAAAGTTTTATAAGCCTAGAATGAAGCAAAGATAGCTATTAAAAAGTATTTTCCATCTATACTCAGACCGACAAATATGGTGACCTAAGAAGAATCCAGGAACAAAGAAAGAACCTGGCTACTTCTGAACATCCTTTTGTCTATCTCTACAAAGGAAGAGATAATCAAGATGGCACTGCCTATTGATTGATCTGATTGATTCTGCTCCTGATAACATCCGTTGTGAGGATGGATCCAAATCTCCTCTCTAAGTTTGCACTTAAATCTTATGTTGATATAACTTATATAAATTCCCAAGAAAAGTCACCAATGAGAACAAAAGCTCAGCATGCTTTTGTTAAGATTTACTCCAAGATCAACCCTTTATACTGGATGTGACAAGGCATAAACGTACCCTATGAATGTGAGAGAAAACAATTCTTCATGGTGCAAAAGACTATCGAGACCAAATATCGATATCAAATATCAAGACAAGTCAAAGAAGAAAAGAATAGTTGCTTGATAGCAAAAAAAGAATAAAATGGTTATTTGTTCTAATCTACCCCTGGACTCATGTTGATATCAAGAACATCAAACAATATACATAGAAAAAAGAAAAGCTACAGAAAACAAAACAAAAAAAAATTCCTATATATCAGGCATTATCCTTCTAGAGGGAATTTACTAAGTGCCATTCATACCTGCATCATCTCAGTAAGGGTCAGTTGATATTAATGCAGTTTAATAGCCAACAACAATAGGGGAGAGGCTAAGGCAAAGAATGCCTGAAAATTGAACAGCACAGAATAAATGGCGGTATCCATTCGAGAGGAAGGAATTTGGGAAGCCTTGGGGAGGACCTGTTTTGGAAGTTATTGAGAAATCTTATTTTTGAGAAAAGGTTTGGTGTAGATGTTCATGAGAATCCAGAACACATGTTCTGTTAACTATGAACGTGGCCTGGAAAAATTGTAAGCATGATTCTTATATTTGATAACTTTTAACTTCATATTGCTTGTTTTTGGATATGGCTTCCAATTAATTAAAACATTAAACTTGTTTTAATCCTCCCCTTTTTTTTTCTACAAAGGATGTCTGTGGTTGCTAGGAGTTGAAAATGACTTGATGGTATATAATAAGGTACATAATAATCACAGTAATCCAGGGACTACTTAAACACCTTTGGAGTACTGGAGCATTATTTCAGTTTTGAATTTCTTTTATCACTGGGTGTTTTCCCAACATAAACCAAAGACTCTCTGTTTGTTAAACCCATTTGATATTGTCCTACCCTTGGGGTCACAAAGAATAATTTTCCATGTTTTGTAATTTTTAACAAACTCTGGCATAACCCTTGTGTAATGTGGAAGACCCTCAGCTTCAATATTAATTCCTTTTAACCAAAATTCCCTTTGACATTGGAATAATATTTAATGTCTCAAATGCCCTGTCTAATTAGCCAATGGTTTTCACTCAATTGTATCCGAGTGTATTGTACAGTCGGAGACATATCTATATCTCCAAAGGGAAAATAATTGTGAGATTAGTTTACATTTATGGTATAGTGTGGATATGCTTTATATGGTTTTCTGCATTGTATAATGGAGTGCTTATAAAGGAAATCTTTCTTTCCTTTTTAAATGGCATGAGGTTTATACCAGATCTGTAGTGATTATACGTGGACAATCAAAATGCAAAAGGACAGTTTCTGTTAAAAAAAATCAATGTGTCTGTTTTAAACCAAAATAAAATTTCTTGTGCTACTTTATGTAACTGTGGCTATAATAACAAAACACTTTAAATCTTTAGTGGAAAGAGAACTTATCAAGTGTGAACAAGTAAACAGGAAAACCTAGAACTCTTTGTTCTCCTGAAATAAACATTTTGTCTTGACTAACAGATCTACACCACACCACACTAACCCCACAAATGTACTGACTTGTTTAGCTAAAAAGGCCGGAGAGCTTTATTCCACGTCCCAGGGAAAAAGCCATTCATTTTCAAAGGGAGAATAACTTTTCTATAATGTTTTAAGATATGTAGGTATCAAATATTTTTTTCTACTGTGTTGCTTTCTTGACTGGGGAAAACAGAGAAAACAGAGCTCCAATACTGTACAGTTTGATTTTTATTTTATTTTTTACAAATTGCTCATGAATGTTAGAAATTCCAAGAATAAGTTAGTTATATGTTTTGTGAAGCAAGATAAATGCTTTATTTGGAAGTCTTCTCCTCAATCTAACATCTTTTTTTTCCCTCCAAAATTGAGCTTTGAGAGAGAAAAAGTTTTTAGGACAGTGGAGGAGATCAGTTGGAAGCAATCAACTGGCAAACTACAGGTTATGTTTAAAATAATACTCTTTTGAACATTTTTCTGAATTTATTTTAAATAAGGCTTCACATCTAAATGCACACATTGCACACATTTCTTTTTTTACTTTATTTTACCCCTTTTAATGCTACATAGCTTGCTTAAAGAAGTGTGTGTGGGGGGAAAGACTGATGACTCATCCAGTGTTTAATTTTCCCATTGTCCACTTATAAATATAATCTATCAAGAAAATTGTAAAGCTGGGGAAGGTTGCAGACTGATGTTTCTTAAAATATCCTGTTGTTTACTTGCTAAAAGAAAATATACTAAAGAGAAGTGTTTTGTACAAGCATTATGGAAGTTAATCTGGGGTAGACAGTCACTGGCAATAATTTAAATAGGAATTATGTAGTTATCCTGGAAAATAGAAGAGTTGGTAGAAAGAATATTCTGTAGTACTATTTTGCTTTACACGACTGGGCAAGTGTTTAAATTGTTAGTTAGTAAGTTTGATTTAGATTTCTTGTCTGAGTTTCAGAATTTGTTCTAAATAAGGAAGAGAAGTCTACCCGCTCCATGGGTATAAAGAGGAGTGCAAAGATTTTCACATCATCACTATAGTTCAGGAGTGTCAAATGTTAAGGCCCGCAGGCCGGATCCGGACCACAGGGTGCTTAGATCTGGCCCATGGGGCCGCCCTGGAAACAGCAAAAGACTGGCCTGCAATGCTTCTGCCAGCGAAAACAGACATTGCAGAGGGTTATGGGTGGGTGTTTTCGCTGGCAGAGGGTTGCAGGAGGCCGTCACAGCCGAAAATGGAGCTTGGGAACCCATTTTCGCTGGCAGAATGCTCGGGCCACCACAAGTGACGAGCTGGCCATGCCCCCCAGGCCCCCCCGAGGTCAAATGACCTTGATGTAGCCCTCAATGATATCAAGTTTGACACCCTTGCTATAGTTTCTGCTAGCCTACAGTTGGGAATTTGGTAGTACCTTTTCAGATTAACACATTTTATCAAAAGAATGTTCCCACCAACCAGGCATCTCCTGAGTCAAACTGCCATCTATTTCTAACAAGAGCCATATATTACTGTGATGTCTGCCCCATTTCCCTTTTTCAGAGGGAAGCCCACCACACCGGCTTTCCATGATTGGTGTAAAGGAATTGGATGTGGAGTGCCATATTCCATCCCTCTTAAAAGAGCAAGCAATCCAGTGTTCCCCACAACCCATAATTAAAAGGAACACTGGGATTCTGTTTTTGTATCAAGACTGTATCAGAAATTTCTGAACAGGGTCGTTTTTCTGTTGGCTGCTTTGTATGAATGAAAAAGGTTGGGGGAATGGGCATTTCCTACCTTTAACGCATAAGGAATTTGCTTAACTGTTTCAACTGTTTAACATTCAACACCCTTGAATTCACTTATCCATTAATTATTTTCTTTATGTTTCTGCTGACTGCAGTGCTGTTTATTGACTTGAATTTCCCAATAATGAAGCTGTAAGTCTCTCCTTATTCATATTCAGTGGTTTTCCAAATTATTCTCCAAATGCATCATTACTCTGAAATCCTCTGAAAGAGTTTTCCTGGGCCAGTTTTGAGTGACAATGGATAGGAACCCAATGAAACAAGTGCTTAGTCAGCCCTAATCTTTCATCTATATATCAAAGATTAATATCTGATTCAGATCTTTGTGCTTCTCAAGTTTCCTTTTGTAAAACAGCAACAGCAGTGATTTCATGATGTTATAATTAGCTGTGTTAAGAAAGGGTGATGTGATTCCTGCATTAAGATTTTGAGAGTATTGTTATACTGCCAACTATTTATTAACTTTTTACTGATGAATGTTGTCTAACCTTCTCTTGGCTTTGATTTCAGCTGCGTTGGGGCAGCCTTGTGCAATGAACATCACAAAAAATTGAACAAATGAGGACTGCAAAGCATTTTTCAAATTAAAATGCTTCATGAATGATAAAATATGAGAAACATATTGTTTCCAAATCATTGCTAGCTTTTCTGCTGACACTGAATTAAAAGTTAGTGATTTTTCATGCTGGCACTGATCAAGGATTCTAAAGCAGTGATTGCTTTTTTTCTTTTTGGCAACCAAATCATGACCTTAGAGAGAGCAAGACTAACATGATTTACTGTCCCTTTATGTGATTTTTCTTCTAACTATCTAGCTCAGTGATGTCAAAGGTGACATGCCATGACATTTTGAGTGACACACCAGTATTCACCAACACCTGATGATGTTGTTCAGGATGGCCTAGATTGAGGGACAATGACTGATTATTTATCTTTTGTTGGTATGTGTGTGAGACACAACAGCAGAATCAAGTTAGGCATTTCCCAAATTTTTGAGGAGCTCAAAAGGTTTAGCTGAAGAAAAGATCATAGTGAACCACAGGAATTGCTTGGGACTGCAAGTCTGCCTATCATGGAACTGGACCACTGAATATTCATTCACAGGTGAGGTCTTTTCTACTAGCACATCTGTGCTGAAGATCACAATCTTCTGGACCTTTCCCCACCTCACCCACCCATAACTTTGGATGATGATGCTAAACCTCTGTTCATTTTAACAGGCAAAGATACCTCTAATTCTTTGAGCGGTATTTCTCAACTTTGGCAACTTTAAGATGTGTGGACTTCAACTCCCAGAATTCTCCAGCCAGTTTGCAAAGTTGAGAGCACTGCCGTAGGAAATGCTATTGCTTCTAGTAAAACTTTCTTAGCAGAAGATGTATTAATGGAATAGTTAATGAGATATGAATGTTCTTTCTATGAAAAATCTCTTCTGCATGCTTTGTAAGGGCTATCATACAGATAAATGATAGTACTTTATTAACCTGAGAAATACAATTACTTTATGAGGACAAATATGTCTCTGTGTACCTGCATGAGGGAGAGAAGCAATTATCATAACACATATTCTTTAACAGCAACAAGCAGCTTTCTAGTTCTAGAGCCACAATCTCCATAATTTTATAAATGCTCTTGTACTTTAAGAGACTTACAAAAATTAAGGTTACCAGATGTGAATAGTAAAAACTTGGAAGACCACTAGATGGTAGAAAAGAAATGATATAACATTGGCTGCCACAGTGGTTGTCCAGATTTTTGGAGCCCAATGCGTAACAAAATGATAATCAGTCAAATTTTAATTCCCTCGATTCCACAAATCTGTGCTAGAGAGCATGTTTTAAGGTAAGATTTTCAATGTATTACTTGTATGTACTAGAGCTCTATCTATTTCTAGCTGGGCATTACTAGTTTTGTGCATTAACCAAGGATCTCAAAATGAGATCATTTGAATGGGACTTAGGCTGGCATCATAAATGAAGATGGAATAATGTGCCAGACTAATGATCAATATACAAGCATGTTACTTCCTCAACTTACCTTCTCTGCATTTTTGTTCTTTGATACCTAGCAAATTCAGCTGAGAACATTGTCTTAGTGGCAACCATCTCTCAAGGGCCAATCTTGGTCTGTCAGCCTTGTAAAACCTTATGTATCTTCAGGACATGATCCCCAATCTCAACAGGTTGGTATGAGAATATTACCCAAATATCTGTTCCATTTACTTGATTATTATTTTGGAGCTTTAATCTTTCTGGCTTCTCCCCCTTTTGGTATTCTACAACTGACACAAGACATAATCTTTATTTACCGGAAAGCTTCTCATTTCCTAATTCAGTCTTAGAAAATGAAATGATAGGTAGCTATAGCTAATTCATTTATTTGCTGTGTGCAGATCTACCTGGAGGAAAAGACAAAGGAAATTGTAGTGGCAGACAACACCCTGTTAGCTGTTAAGGTGTTTTATCCCATATGGCAGCCTTTTGTGACAATCCCCACACTTTCAAAATTCAACGTCTTGGCCCGAAATGGCTATCTTTTCTAGCTCTTCCTGTTTTGAATACATGCCTACTTCTGATATTGATATTGGTTACTGATATTGATATTGATCCTTGATATTGGTGATCCTTGATATTGGTTACTAATCGGGCCACATACTGCCTTAGGTCTACTTGAATTAAAAGTTTGACACACTTGCATCCATTATAACTCTAGGAAGAGAGTTTTTTGCCATGCATTTTGGTTTGTTTAATTGAGATTTTAGTATTCAATTGTAGGAGAGTGACCATTGAAGATGAGGAAATATATGAAATGGAATTTTAAATACAGCTTAATGTTCAATACCCGAAACAAATGTGACTATATAAAATGAGTGAGGTTGCCAATTTAAAAAATTGCTTGTTGAAATATTATGATGGGTATAATTATGTGAATTTGGGGGTAAATGCCTTGATATGATTATGTGTTAATGAAAAGGAAGTCAGACTTTAAAACTTTACAACCCAAGCTTTTATATAAAATCATATTTTGAAGGGTGAAAGACTATTATGTGATAATTTTAAATATAAAAATAAAATTATGTATGTTGAATTAATGTGATTTTGTAGTAGTACAATATTTTAAACAGATAAATTGTGAGGAATTTATGCATTGCAAGGAATTAACAAATAATATGGTTGTTTATCTGACTGCGTTTTTTAGATTGAGTTGAACCATCAAATTGGTAAATGCAATTCCCAGATTTTGTAGAATCCATTATATTTCTAGTCTAAGGAAATAATATATCATTTAATAATACAAGAACAACAACAACAACAAAATGAACTAGATGAGATGAATTAATGGAGAAAAGAAATGAGACAGCAGAGAGGGAAAATGCAGCAGTGCTGATCTTTAAATCAAAACTAATTATACATTTTATTATCTGTGTCTCAGTGTACCATTGATCACAATTCGTGTACACACTGTTTCTGTTACTGTGCATTACACACATCAATAAAATGAAAGAAAACAGATGAAATGAAATAATTTTACACAAACACAATAATCATATTATTATTATTATTATTAATAATAATCCCTGAACAACCCAAATGTTATTCCACCCCCCCCTCTTCCCCAGTCCATAACAGACAAATCAAATGAAATTAAACAGAGAACAAAAAGCCTTTAAAAGTGAAAAAAAAATTACAGGAAAAAAAATTAAAAGAAAAACTCAGAATTCAAGCATTCCACAGATTGTTCAAAATGATTGAAAGCCTAGTCTAACTTCCATCTTTTTAACCAGGTGATGTGAGAACAGATTTTATTTTTTTATTTTTATAGCTAGGTTAAAAGAGGCTACTAAGGATCTGAGATAGCCACAGTTAATGTGTACATTCACTGGTGATGTAGACTAGGCCTTTTAAAGCTTTCTGTGTGCACATATCATGCACAAATGAAACTGCATCTGCACAGGTAGCCTCTGCACTGAAATGAATGGGAAAATGGTAGCCATTGTATTAGAATGGAATCCCTAAACACCCAAGGCATCCAATTCATTACTCTGGTAAAATTACCATTAATTTCAATGAGTCTGGGCTGCATATACAGATAGAAATCTAGTACGAAATTCTACGTACATAAAAAAAAAATCCATCCCTTATTTTGCTTTATTCACTCAGTCATTATATGGTAATACAATTAGTTTCCCCACGGCATGAAATATGTCTCATGTTTTTGCAGTTTTATGGAGTGATCTTTTTCTACAGCATTGATATTCTGGCCTTGCCATTTAATTAATGCACTGAACAGGTCATTTCCAAATCTGTGATTGTATGATTTAAGGATAGTAGGATTTTAAGGATGTGAATTCATACAGCCGCTTCGCTTACCATAACATACTGGATGTGTATGTTACTGTCCATGAGAAAATGGGTCATGGTGATAGAAGAATTGTCATTATCAGTCATGCACCCATGAATAAAGGAGAAATTACAAACTCCCAAAAGAATATCATTCTATATTTGAGAGAAATAGTTGGAAATATGTCTACAGATTTTTTTCAACCGACATCCAACAGCACTGTTAAAGTGACAATGAGAAATATATTTTACATATATATCTTTTTATTTTCCAATTGGAGGTGGATAAACCTGAGACTCTTCAAATATTATTGAATATCACTCCCATGATTCTGAACTACTGGCCATACTGCTGGGAACTGGAGTCCAATAATATCCAAAGGGCCATACTCCATTGATACTTAGAGAACAGCTCCTTAATCATTGTAAGCATGCCTATATTTTTATGATATGGAAACATCAATGGCTTTGGTCTTCCCCTAATTATTTGTCAGTTTTCTTTTTCAGAAACAGGCCTATTGTGCGGTTAAGACTGCAATAACAGTGTTTATATGACCATTTTTAAGGTATAAACCCTATATTGCACATGGCTACCCACGTTGCTTCCATGTCACCAGGGAAGCAGCAAAGTCATGCACCCAGTCTGGCACCCATAAATAGAATCAAAGAAACAGAAAGAAACAGAAACAAAGAAAAATGAATTGTTTCAATAAGTTTCATTCTCTCTAATCCCCTTTTAGATTTGCTTGCTTTAGATATTTTAGATGTAGTGGTGAGAGAATTCTGAAAAATGAAAAAAATTAGAAAGACAGCACATGGAGAAATCAATAGACAAACCAGCTACAAAATAAATATCACTGGACTGTTCAGTTGCACTGTCCATGAATGATAGTTCCCAAGAAAAGCTCCTTTTTGGTACATCAATCTACTCTGAACATTGATAAGTACATTGTTGACATGTACTCATCAATGTCTACAACAATACTGATACTTTTTAATTCATGGAGATAAATGCCAATTCACTGCCAGACAATGCAGATAGTGCCACATTTCTTGCTAGGACCCATTGTTGTTCTGAAGGCCAATGGGTGGTAGAACTTTTTAACTCCAGCATGGAAGAATAAATTTGAATTACAGTATTCTGATGGTGGGTTGCCCTTTACAAATGTTCAGCGATTTCCACAGAGCAAGAGCAGGATCAGAGGGAGTAAGCAATGCAAGAGACCAAAGAATTGGCATCTGGAGCACATGCAGCATAAATACTCTGGGTAAAATGGGTGGCTGAAAAAAAGCTCAAGGATGTTCTGGTGATTTAGGGTTCAACACAGCTGTTCATACTTAAAATGAAGAATGAAGTCCCAATTAATTCCAACAGTCTAGTAATAAACAGGCTAAATTCATCCACAACTCAGTGGTAAAGCACATGCTAGCATGTCAACTATCCAACAGTTCAATTCATGGAATCACCAGTTAAAATAGTTAAAGGGCTGGATAAGCTTCTCCCTGAGATCTCAGAGAATCACTCTAAGTGAGAGTCCTGGGCTAGATAGGTCACCGGCTTGACTCAGTATAAACAACTTCCTGAGTCCTGTACTTGACTGGTAAACAGATCCCTTTCTATGTGACGAAACTTGCACAGCTTCTTCCCTTTAAAACCTAAGACTTTCTCCAGTTCTTGGTTATTGCTTCTTAGGAATCTTATATAGAACAACGGAATGAATACCAACCATTTCTGGACTCTCACTCTGTTCATTGAAAAGAAAAGATATGGAAAGAAACACGCTTGCATTTTCAATGGTCGGTCAGCTTCACTATCACTATTCAATGCTATATTACAGATTATGGTTTGCTTCATTCATGCAAAGTATTACAACAAGTACAATGAAAGCATTCCCAATTTGGAGTATGAGAAGGAGCATAGCAGCAAATATTGGTAGATGGAAAGGGCATAGGAGGGAACTGAAATTTATCTGACAAAATATGTCAGAAATACAGGGAAAAATGCTAGGGCTTCGGGCATGAGTCTATAATCCACAGTCTGGAGCAAACGGAGAATTGATTAAATATGGTTTAGGTGGCTATTTTTCTTTTAAGAGAGTGCTGGTCATAAATAGAGTTCTGAAAAAAATGGGAAAGGGTTATCTGTGGTTTAATAACATCTGAACAACCAGGCAGTTAAGGAGGGATCAAAACAAAAATAAAAACAAACAAAACAAAACCTCAAACAAAATTATCCTCCCCATAAACAGCATAGGGTTGGAACCCCCTTGGATTGTGTTGGTCACTCTAGACTCACATGTGTCATTGAGGGTGGTGATTCAGCTTGTTCTTGAGTTAATGAAGAAGGCAACAAAGATATTGGTCAGAAAGTCAAGAACTCCCACTTAAGTCCTTCGCCCAATATGATATAACTTAAGGTTGGTTGTTGGTCTTTCCAAACAACCCCCTTTGACATCCAACTGCTCCTTAGAGAGGGAGGGGAAAGGGAAATACAAAGTAACTCCATCATGACCTTGTAGGCTGAGTTGCAAAGACGGCCCTGCATCCAGGTCTCCATTGCAATGCTGCTGCTCCTGGTGAAGACTCCTGCAGATTTCAAACTCCTACCACAAAGCTACATTCCATCAATAGGTAAGTGAACATGGCAAATGTCTTTTCTCCTCTGTTCAATAATATTAGATCTATATCTATATATCTCTCTTTCTATATATAGATATATATATAGATACTATCTTCAATTGTTTCTTTAGAAGCCCTTTATGTGGCAGTAGGCTTCCAGAGATGAGAAAAATATGTACAAGAGCCAGAGCAGCACAAAGAGGCTTGAGGTCAGAATCTTGGCAGTCCGTGGCCCGCCTAGCTCACCTCCAATCTCTGGTCTTCGCCGGTAGAGGAGCACACCAACACTGATAAAAGCAAATATAGTGAAGAGGGTGACAGAGAAAGCCAGGTTGCCTGGTTGGACTGCAAATGTCTCCCCATTGGCTGCATGGTAGATTGCAGCAATGGACCAGGCTACGCCGATTCCCAGGAAAACATTCACAGCGTTGCTACCAGTGACATTACCTATGGAAGCATCTGCATATTGATCTTGTGTTGCTGCTACTTTGCTGGCAAATGTATCTGCAAAGTGAAAAGAAACAGTATTATTGAACTTTGAGCTGTTGTCCCTACTTCCAAGCTCAGAGTTAGGCAAATGGTTTTCTAGCAATAGCAGGATGGTACATTGACAAATAATCTAGCCAAAAGCAAGATCTGGATAGACTTCGAAGTTGCACCGTCTAGAACTGATGTTCTACCAATCTTAGCCCAGTGGCTTTTTTTCCCTCTGCTTCTGGCTCTATTAGTAATTAGACAGTTTTAAATCAACTTGTTAAAAAGAGCTACTAGCAAACTGAAATCTTTAGCTCTCTTTTTACAAAGACCCTTCCCATTAGGTTATGCCAATATGCCGGATTTTAAATATTTTAGATTTTAAAGTTAATCTAAGATTAGAATCTAATCCTGTGGTCTGTGGATTCCCCCCTCCCCCAAATGGGTATGTGCTATCACCCAATCCTCCCTCCTTTTTGGTTCTGAAATTTCTCCAGATCTTCACCTTAGTAGGTTGGATGCACTCCCCCCTGCAGTTCTGCAGGGGTATTTTAAAGACAGCCTTCTACATCAGGACATATGCCAAATGGCTCTGTAGAATCCCCAAGCTCCTTTTTTGCTCTTTCTACAGGGAATCTCAGATCCTATTCTGAAGAAATAGCTGGCAGATAATATGAATTGTTTGTGGCTTTTTCTGTTTGACCAGGATTTTGATATATCCCTATTGCTCGATTAAGTGCCTCTTTGTTCTCACTCATCTCACTTATTCACTCAACCACAGAATAGAATTAATCTTAGTGATCATCGCTATTATGCTACTTTATTCTATTTTTGTTTAGTTTTTATTTATATAATTTCTAGATATATGGGTTTCAGTGTTTGAAGTACACTGTTTTTTTCTGCCTGTAAGGTAGTATTAAATATCAACTGAAACCACCTAAGCCCAGTGGTTCACACATTAAAGGAATTGAAGTAGTCATAACTAAAAAGGGATCACAACCTATGTCTGCATTTCAAATCATTTTTGCACCTGCAATCATTGGAGAATGGATACATGGGAGAAGCAGAAGCTGAACCTACAACTTCAGCTTGCATTTTTCTCCTGCCCAGGATCTTCTTTAGAAGCTATGTAGCATTATACATGGATCCACTCTGTCTGATGGTTAAAAATAATCTTTGCAAATTTCTCTTTTCTCTCTCCTCATCCTTCCTTCTCTGGAACGAAAAGTCTTTTCTCCAGTATGAACTGTTCAACTGTCCAGTAACAAACACCATGATTAAGACGATGTAGTTTTTCTTACAACTATTTTTTGAAATATAAATTGGATTATGGTTCCTAGCTCTGGCTCATAATTACATTCCTGATAATGTGATATCATGTCATAATAATATTAAAACAATATGTACTATCTATTTGTACTATTAACACAAACTCTGTAAAAGAAGTTTAGGAGACTGGGATTTAGTCTGGGTTCACACTTATACTTTGTACTTAACTGGTTTTCTGATTTGATGGTCTGATGATGCAAAGCCCCATTGGGTGCTCAGCACAATGGTAAGCCATTATTGGCAGGATCACACTTCCCTAAGCCAAAGCACATTATGCCTTAGTAGAAAGTGTGAATCAGCTCAGAAAGTGGCTTGTGAAAAGCAGAGGTCTATTGAAGTCAGTTCATGATAATGGTAACTTCTGAATCAGGTCTGAGGGCAGATAGTTTGAACAGCTTCACTATACAGATAGTCCTCGGCTTACAACAGTTCATTTAGTAATCATTCAAAGTTACAACGGCACTGAAGAAAGTGACTTATGACTGCTTTTCAGACTTATGACTGTTGCAGCATCCCCATGGCCATGTGATCAAAATTCAGATGCTTGGCAATTGGTTCATATCTATGATGGTTGCAATATCCTGGGGTCATGTGATCACCTCTTGCAACATAAATTTTGGGCTCAATTGTGGTCATAAGTCAAGGACTACCTGTATCAACTTAAATGTAAGCTAAAGTACTAAATAGAATAGATAGGCATTACTATGAAACCATCGATTTGGCTCCCATTCTACAAAATCAGATTAGAAGGAAACCCAAGTTGCACATTAATTACTTGTCTTTCTTTCTGTATTTCAAAGCATTGTTGGATATCTACCTCTTTCATCCATTACACCCTCCCCCCTGCATTCTTTAATTTTCCTGAAGGAGATGCTAATCTTATGGTCACAAACATTTCACTAGCAAAGGAGAAATTACTGTTATTTAAACTCCATCCCAAGTATGCAACTAGATGTATTTTGTTAAAAAAAAAACAACATTCCAAGCTGTTTTAACGGAATGTTTTTGAGTACAGCAGCCTCAGGTCACCTTGTATAAAAAGAGAGAAAAGACAGCTCAGCCTACAAAAGTACTTCTTTAAAATGTCATTCTTGGCAGGAGTTTAGAAACAGTTTTTTCCTATGGTATGTTGGATGTAAAATTGTGAGGTCTCAGCTGAAAGCTAGCTCTTCATCCTCATACAAAGGCAAACCCAAATAGGTAGGGCAAGAATGTTAATTTATATTAAAATTCAAAAGCTGCTTTCAATCATAAAAATAGCACCGTGGACATTTCTATAAGTGCTATTAAAAAAAAAAAGGCAATTTCTCCAGAGTTCTGCCTCTGCTGCTCCACAGCAACTTAATAATTAGACTGCAGAAGTGATGTCAAAATAAGAAAGTTCATACTAGGTCCTTCTGCAACAGCCAGCAGAGTTCTTGGCAAGCTGTGGGTGGCAAGGTTGCTTGCAAAACACTCTTCATTCACAGGATAGCTTTTATGAAATTTATTGGTTTGCTTATTTATTAATTAGTTCAATTTACATAGAAGCCCGTGTCACAGTCTCATTCTGGACTCTGGGTGGCTAACAATACTAAAAACCATTATAAAAATATCGGAAACAGAAAGGCAACATAATAAAACATGAGCTGGGGTAAAAAAAAACAACCCAGACTCATCAACAGATGGGCACAACCAATATATTTCCAATTGTCCAGACACCTGCCTGCCAGGTGATCATCTGACTAACTGGGAGTTGAACACTGGTTCCTTTATTAGTAAAGGCATGAGGAAACTACCGTATTTTTCGGAATATAAGATGCACCTTTCCCCCCCCCCAAAAAAGAGGGTGAAAATATGAGTGTGTCTTATACTTCGAATGTAGCCCCGCCCAGCTTCTCAAATGGAGGTTTCAGAGGCTGAAAAAAGCATCAGAAAAGAAGCTTCAGAAAAGAAGCCCCCAAACAGAGCTGTTACTAAAATTCACCTCTGGGTACAGCTGATTGGGGGGTATTCGGGAGGTTGATCCACCTGCCAATCAGCTTTTTTCTTATTTTCCTCCCCAAAAACTAAGGTGTGTCTTATACTCCGGTGCATCTTATACTTCGAAAAATATAGTAGTAAATTGCAGGTAGACCTTGACTTACAACAGTTCATTTAGTGACTGTTGGAAGTTACAGCGGTACTGAAAAAAGTGACTTATGACCATTTTTCACACTTATGACCATTGCAGCATCTCTATGAGCATCACATGATTTACATCTGGATGCTTGACAGCTGGTTCATATTTATGATGGTTGTGCAGCCTTCTGACAAGCAGACAATAGGGAAAGATAGGGATAGAATTGTAAACCCTAGGGTTCCCTGTAAAGAGGGAATTTAATTTTAGTTTCAATTTATTTTTGGCACATAGATCTGATAAGAAGCTATGGCCCAAAAGGACATGCTGTCTTCAATCTGGATCCTTCAGCTGGGTGGATGTTGCCCATGCTTTTTGGAAATTTTAGGAATAACAAGAGCCACATTTCTGGAAATTACCAGATGCAGAAAGGTTGCCTTAGGCCAGTGGTAGGCAAACTTGGCTCTTTCACACCCTGTGGACTTCAACTCCCAGAATTCCTAAGACAGCTTGGCTGTCTTATCAACTTTTGATGAGAACCTTTCAATTTTTGACTGACACTGCATTTTACAAATATTGTTCTGGCATGGTTGTGTGATCAATGGTGTGAGAGGTTTTTCTGGGTCTTGACTATACCTTTTCTCCTTTAAATTTATTCTGATAATTATATTATATTTTTATTTATTCATTAATTAAATTTATATGGCCGCCCATCTCATGGAAAATGATTCTGGAGAGCATATAACCGTCCATTGTTATTTTGATTAAACAATGAACAAATAAATAATTTTGATTGACAATTTGACATGCAGATGAATGGTTCAGTAGAACTATTGAATTGGGACACAGGTGGATTTAACTATAAACTAGCTGTTGAGGTTAAATATTTAATCTATTTATTTTAAAAATCTGTGTATTCTACCTTTCGTAGGCCTTCCATAATGACAATGCAAAAATTTGGATGATCAATAGATGTTGTAAAGAAATATAGAATACTCTATTACTTTATTGGTTCTTTGAGGTTTGCCACACAAATATGGTAAGTTTGCCCTTATTTAAAAATCTCCTTCTTTATTTCATTTTGACTGAAATTCAGCAGCAACTTTTGGAAGGGTTCGGTTTGCCATACTCAAGACTTGGGTACTGTAAGGATCCTGAGGCCTCTATCAAACCATGAACATAAAGATAAAAAGTAACATGATAAACATTATGTTAATAAACATAATTTAACTATCACCACAGTATTCAGTGAGACCAACAGGACTGAACTATGTGCATGAGCTATATTACGTTCCAGTAAGGAATTCCATTTCTTTAAAAGAAAACTTAGTGGCATCTAAGTTGCAAATAGATGTCTCATTTGGAGAATTTAATTACCTCATTTAGCAATGATTTCATTCAAATACTTCTACCCAGTGGTGGGTTCCTCCCGGTTCGGCCTGGTTCTGCCGAGTTGGTAGCGGTGACGATATGTCATCACTGAACCGGTTCTGGCCCCCCGCCCCCCCCAACGTTATTCTTACCTTTTATTTGGCCCCACCCCCAATCTATTGCTGCCTGAGTCCCAGCTGATGGGCTATAAGGAAAAAAACTATTTAAACTCTTGCCACGGGGCTTCAAAGGGCCGCCCTACAGCTGATCAGTGGTAAAAGGCAGTTTGGTGGTAGACCGGTGCCTCCAAAAACAAATGAGTAGACCGGTGCCTGTAAAAATAAAGGGGTAGACCAGTGCCTGCAAAAATAAATGAGTAGACTGGTACAGCTCTGCAAGCAGTTAAAAGCCTGGTAGACCAGTACCTCTGCTAAATCCTAAAGAATTTGCACATGACCATCAAGTCACGCCCACAAAATAAGCCACACCCACAGAACCGGTAGTAAAAAATTTTAGAACCCACCCCTGCTCCTACCCCTAGCATTCATACTATTGACAAGATAGTTGTAACTTATGTTGAAACTGCAACCCTATTACACATCTATTCTTTGCTTAAAACTGAACATGACTCACAATATAATTCTGTAAATATTACTCAGAAGTAAATTCATGATGCTGGGAATTAGGCAATGAGATTGGTAAGAAGTTGTCCTGTTCAAAAGATGTTTAATGCAGAGTTAAGTCAATGGGCTGTTCCTCACTAGCTTACTATTAAATTTTCAAATATTGATTTTTGACTTGTGCCTCTAGCTTGTTGTTTTTTTTTTAGCTTCCTCTTTATTCTCAACTTTTCTTTCTTCTGGCCTATGAGCTTGGGTTTGGGTCCTTCACTGCAGAATTCTCACCTTTTTTTTTTTGAATAAAAACTATTTTTACTGATTTGTATCCTATAATTGCAGTTTGATGTATAGACATTTGCAGGTGATAACCAGATCATGAAAAGCTGCTGATTCCTGCATACCAAATAACTGTTGCATAACTGAAAAGATGAATGTGTATCAGCCTTTCTTAGCAGCCTAAAGCAAACCATTGCCAGTGAATTGGGGAATGTGTACAATCTGATTGGATTGGCAGTTGGATTTTTCTTCCACACTGACAATGTGACTGCTTGGGAATGTTCCCAGGATCACCTGCAAAACAGTGGTGGGTTTCAAATTTTTTTACTACCGGTTCTGTGGGTGTGGCTTGGTGGGCATAGCATGGCTTGGTGGGCGGAGCTTGGTGGGCGTGGCAGGAGAAGGATACAGTAATATCTCCATTCCCACTCCACTCCAGGGGAAGGTTATTGCAAAATCCCCATTTCTTCCTGATCAGCTGGGACTCAGGAAGCAGAGAATAGATGGGGGTGGGGCTAGTTAGAGGTGGTATTTACCGGTTCTCCAAACTACTCAAAATTTCCACTACTGGTTCTCATTTCTAGAACTGGTCAGAACCTGCTGAAATCCACCTCTGCTGCAAACATACATCCTGTATGGCTGAGTTACTGTCTGTAATGGCATTGAGTTACATAAGATTCAATGGAGGATAACTTAGAGGGTGTTTGAAGGATTGCATAATGCATAATTCTGTCCTCCAATTTGTTGCTGGTACCTCCCGGCATTGGTCATCTGAGGTGATGGCCTCACAATGCTAAATAATAGAATGGCCCTTTAACTGTGACTTCCCACTTGCTTGCTTCCTCTGCTTAGGCCTTGGCTATCTTCCCTGGACATGGACATATCAAGATCCTAATCATTCATTGATGCCATTGAGCAATATAGAAAGCATTTTATTATGCTTTCTGTTGAACATCTTGAAATTGACTTGGGAACAAAAGGATTTTAAAAACCAATAAGTACAGTATTAATACTAAATTTACTTAGTGTCACGATGAGTATTCTTAAAATTCTCATCTTATTTAATACTCCCCAAAAGTAAAACTAAAAGGGAAGCAGTGGCTCAGTGGCTAAAACGCTGAGTTTGTCAATTGAAAGGTCGGCAGTTCAGCTGTTCGAATCTCTAGTGCCGCGTAACGGGGTCAGCTCCTATTACTTGTCCCTGCTTCTGCCAACCTAGCAGTTTGGGAGCACGTAAAAAATGCAAGTTGAAAAATAGGGACCACCTTTGGTGGGAAGGTAACAGCGTTCCATGCATCTTTGGCATTTAGTCATGCCGGCTACATGACCACGGAGACGTCTTCGGACAGCGCTGGCTCTTTGGCTTTGAAACGGAGATGAGCACCGTCCCCTAGAGTCGAGAACGACCAGCACATATGTGCGAGGGGAACCTTTACCTTTACCTTTTAAAAGTAAAACTAGTAAAAGGAAAAATTGCCTAATAAATCCAGGGATGGGAAAGACAAAGTACTGATTACATGAGATTAAAATATGTTCAGAAAGAAATTCTACTAATATAAAAAAAGGAAGAATTGGACACAATCACTGCAATTGTCTTTTGTGTAAGCCTTTTCCCTGTAATCATTCTGGAGAAACTAGGGAAGTTAATTTAAATTATTTAATCCTCTTAATTTTAATTGCTTTGTATTATCCTTTTTATCTTTTTATCACATTGCAAGCCAGCCAGAGATGGCGAAATAGCGAGATGGGCAGCATATAAATTTAATAAATAAATAAATAAATCTTACAACCTCTATTGTACTCAGATTCATTATTCTACTTGGTTTATCTGTTCAGGCCAAAACAGTTGTAACCTTAGAGTTAATATACTAGAAGAAATCTGAAAAGCTTCTACAAATGCCAATATATTCTTAACAGATATGATGCAAATGTGTATGTGACATGTTTATATGGAAAAATGTATAGACAGTATAGGCAAACTTCCCTGACATTCCCATGGTGCAGAAGGCCATTGCTAAATGACAGAACCCAAGCTGTATGTATCAGGAAATTGTGATTATTATTTTCAGATATGTAGATAGTAAAGTTTTAATTACATTTTAACCTGTGCAGTTTTAATGTTTTAATTATTTTTACTTGTTTTATGACTTGTTAAGCACCTAGAGTCACCTTGTAGGAGAATGGGTGGCATAAAAATGTCATAATAAATAAAATAAAATAAAATAAAATAATAAAATAGAATGAATGAATGAATAAATGAATGTTTATATCTTCCCTAGTTTATGTGCAGAGAAATATTATCTATAATTCCACTGCTGGGGACAACCTAAAAATGCATCAGGTAGTCAGATATCCTGTTCTTAGAATCACTATTATTAGTCTTGTCCCAATGAGTTTTCTTCTGCCTTTAAGTCAAATTGGCAATGTCTTGCCTGAATTCTTTTCCTCCTCTACTTCTCTATATACAGTTAAAACATATGTAGCACTAAAAATTTATCTTCCACAGAGTTAAGATCCATAGGAGACAGATTACTATTGTTCTATCAGTTACTAAAGTAACTTTAGAATGATAGAAAAGCAACTATTGCCTTGATGTATCCTTGGGACCATGAAAAGGAAGAAAAATTTAAACCCTCTTTCCATACCTTGTATTGATCCTACTGTGACTGAAATTCATGATGATTGTTTGCTTTCTAAAGCAATTGTTTGCTTTCTAAAGCAAACTGATATTGTACTTCTCTATATTACTTTTAGATAGGAAAAGCTATTTAACATCTTGCTTATTTTGACTCTGTAATTGTCTTTTATGGTTACTTAAAATTTGGCAAGCTTTATGTGAATGTATCACTTCTGAATAAGTAATGTAATAAGAAATAGATAAAGGTTTTAGATAAAGGTTAGTTCCCAGAGGCCAGATGTAATAAATGGAGTGGCTTTTCAGCCACAGGTGATTCAAAAATATTTTTTTCTGGTTTAAAAAAGGTTAATAGGCAGTAACAGATAGGGAAACATAATCTAGGGCTGCAATGGACAGTCGTTTGTTCTGAAATGATCCATGAGATTCCAGTGAAATTTGTTTGAAGTAACTGCGGCCAATTTCCCGATTGTTCCAGTCTTATCGGGAATCCTCATTTTATAGCGAAGGGAAACAACATGAAAAGTAATAGCAGGCACTTAAATTATTTTTGGTGTCTTTTCTTTTTTCTTACCTGGTACTGAAGTTCCCAATGCAACAAATACGACTGCAGTTACAGAATCCTTCAGGCCGATTGTGCAGCCAAAATGGGATGCCAAATCCCCAATGAAAGCTGTGAGAAGGCCAATCATGAGGATGGACACTACAAAACAAGCCCAACCATTCCAGTAGTCTGTTGGGGGCACAAAGGCAAAAAGGACTTTCCAGAAGACGGTCAGAAAGTGCATCACATAATCAAAGCAGGATGGTAGCTTCTCTTCGCCACATTCATCATCATCATCGTCCTCTCCTGAAAGAGGAAAGAGAGGGAGGGAGGGGAGAGAGGGGGGGGGCGAGAGAGAATGGTTCATGAAGGATGGTTCCCAACTATAAGGCTGAGAAAAAGATCACTGAAACCAATGGGAAGCGGGTATAATTGACTTTGATAGGCTAACACCTAACTACATAAGAAATGATTACTGTAAATGTGTAAATAGACTTTATTATTTGTATTCATGGCAGCTTCTAAAACCTGCTCAGAATATGTGACAACTGGGCTATAGGTACCTTACACCCACATGGCACAACCAGCTGTTGATGAGTCCAAATTCACAGGCTCTTGTAACAATTCAAAGGATGAAGTGAAAATGATAAATCACTCTTAAAATGATAAAGTGGTAAATGTGAAGTACACGGAAAAGAAATCAATATTAAACAGCAAATATACCATGAAACCAAATAACTGCATTTTAAAAGATAGTAAAGACACAATCAAACTCATTTTAAAATGGGCTTTGAATTGTCATAACTTCTACTTTTTATAAATTTACTGATTAACTGAAACACAAGCATAATGATCATATACCATAATTGCCTTTTTGAAAAATGAAATATATAACAGCTTAATAAATGTATCACTTAGAGGGAAAGGCCACTGTATTTTTCATTCCTTGTGAAAGAAGAATAGAAGCATTTTCCACTTCATACATCATTCCATAATTTTCTAAATATATTTGTTATTTTGTTACATTGAGTTCTCTTTTGCATTAAAAAAGTGTCATGGGGAGTTTGTTTCAGTTTTCTGATCAAATTGTTTTCTGTCTCCTATACATTTTGCATTTATAGCAAATTTGTCTTGAATTTTAATTTTTCGTATTAACTGTATCTGTTGTTATAATGAGGGGGTATGGTGGCCTAATGGTTAGGACAGTGGTGGTATTTGGCTGGTTCTATCCAGTTTGGAAGAACTGGTAGCGGCGGCTGTGGGAGGCTCCGCCCACCCGCCCGGACATCATCATGTCCCGTTTTTGATGCTCTGCGCATGCGTGGAGGTGGCACGCGCGATCTCACATTTGCGAACCAGTAGTGAAGGTAAGTGAATACCACCCCTAGGTTAGGATGCTGGGTTGTGGACCAGAAGGCTGGCAGTTCAAGACCCAAGTACCACATGACGGGATGAGCTCCTCCTTTGTCTCTCTTAGCATTGCTTCATTTCTTGTTTTTGGCTGTTTAGTCTAAACTAACTGGTTCCAACAAAGGTGCCATGTGAATAATATTCCTGAATCAGGAATGTATGAGTGGAGTAGGAAAAGGTTTGCCTCTTCTTTAATAACACCAAGGCTATGATTACTATCGCCTGGTTTAAAATAGCAGAATGATTTATTTTTCAGAGCTTAATCCAGGAAAGATATACTGAATATACAAAGCAAGGTGATTCCAAGGCTGTTTCAGTATTAAAATGATCACATCTGCCGCCATCTTTATGTCCCAGATAATTGTAATACATTCAGGAGAACCCCAGTTGAAAGATCAGAAGTATTATTTGGGAATGCTGGTGGGTGAATACCCTTCCAAAGCCTGTTATTTCCTTTGGTAGTTTTCCTCTAGCTGAATATTTTGGGACTAAAGCCTAGACAGTGTTATCTGTTTTGCTTGATCCTGAAAGCTTCTGGAAATATGACTCATCAGAGTAGGTCATATTTTCCTCCACATATTACCATTTCTCAAATCACTGTGAATTATCTACAAGTCTTCTGATTACTTCTCCATTAACAATACAATTATGTAACTAGATGTTTGTTGCAGAACATTTTGATTCTTTTGGTTTGCACCACCTGATGTGCTACTTACTCTTGATGTACACTGTATAATAATCTCATAAAAGGGTTGAACAGAGGAGCCCAAACAGCTGCTGAAGACTGAAGCTTTTAGGTATTCTAGCTGTGAGATTGCTACATTTTCTCAACAAAGACATGATCCTTTTATTGAGAAGCACAAAAGAATGCCAGGGAGTGCTATCTTAAATGCAAGGAAGTTTGAATTATGGAAAGAAACCCAAAACTTGTTTCCTATTAACAAGCATCAGCAAATGGCTTTCTTGACACCATTACAGGGGAAAAAAAACCTTTATCAGCAAGGTTGGAATACACAGAAATATTGTGGATGTCTCACTACTCATTAGAGTATGGATGTAAGAAGAATCCGGAAGCGGTGCAGCAGGACTGGCTGGGAAAATGCCGGGTTCCGACGAGCTCGGCAAAAACCAGCCAGACGAACTGACACCGGGTGGTCTTCGGACCGAAGCTGTCCTGTAGGGACAGTGAAGAGAGGCAGCTCGGTGTCTAAAGAGGGACAGGCAAGTCCCTTGGATAACCCGAGAAACTCTCTTCGAGCCGGTGACAGGGGGCGGCGATCAGAGTGAAACGCCATGAAGCTGGAGCCTCTGGAGCAAGCAATGTGCAGGAGGGAAGATTTGGACAGAGTGCTGGTGTTGGGTGAGTGATTGGCTAACCCACAGACAATAAACAGAAAATTCTAAATATTTTTAACTACTAAACTATTACTAAAATTACCCCGGCGTGGAAATTGTGGCTAAATAGCAGCGGGGGGAGATGGCGGATGGAAAGAGAAAGTGAGAATGACAAGCGCGCCATAGAAGAACCTGAATAAAGAATTAAAACTGATTGCCAAATGTAAATGTAAATCTGGAACTTGGATTCAATTGGGATTGGATTATAAATTGATTGGTGGTATATAAAGGTGAAAGAAGAGGTGAAAACTGGCTGTTTTCTCTTTTATGACTCAATAAACACGGATGTGGATTACAAATAAAATGGCGATTTGTTAATTAGTCGAATGGGAAATAAAGGGCAAAGATTTCACGATTTTAAGATATAAAATATTAATAATGAAAAGATACGAAAAAGGAAAAGTAGAAACAAAGGGAAAACTGTAATAAATGTCACATGCTCAATAATATTGGAGGTTTATAGAATGATAAGTTTTAATAATATGAATAAACCAGTTGGGGGGAAATGTAATATTTGGAATATCTCAAACTATGTATTTGAAACATAATTAAAAAGAGAAAAGAAGACAAATTAAGAATATTTTAAGAACTAATCAGATTGGGTAAAATGAGAAAGGATTAAGATGCGCTTTATAAATATATACTTGAATAAGTGGAAATTTATTGTTAAAATGTTTTGAGAAATATATATAATGATTGAAATTGAATGTAAAACTGAATGAAATTGAAATGATAAAAATGATTTAAATGTTATACTTGCAAGAAGTAAAGCAGAAAAAATCTATTGGTAAAAGTAAAAAAGATAATAGATTAGAAAATTGTTTGAGTAAAGATTTGAAGGAAAAAAGAGAACAAGATGAAATATATCGTTAATAATTAAAAAGATAAGGGATCGGGATTGCCTGAACTCCACAATGGAAAACATTAAATTGAAAATGAATACAGCAATAGAGAGAGATGAAGGAATTGGAAGGGAGGAGAGAGAAGGACTGAAGAGTAGGGAGGAAGGAAGGGAAGGGAAAGTAGAGTAGGAGAGAAGGTAAGACGGGGCAAGAGAGGAGGAGAAGGAGAAGGGAAGGGGAAGTAGAGAAGAGAAGAGGAAGGTGGGGAAAGAAAGTTGGAAGGAGAAAAGGGAGAGGCTAGGTTTGAGGAGAAAGATTGCTGTATAAAAAGATGAAGTGGAAGAAAGGCAGTTCTGAACAAACAAATATAAATATATTAAGAAAAAGAATGAATTGTTTAAGAATAAAAGAGGATAAATGTGTACAAATAGTAAAGTTAGAATTTAGGGATAAATGAAGAAGGTGTTTATGTATGCAAGTATTGAAATACTGAGGTACAGGGTGGATAAAAATCAATGATTTTTTTTAAAAAATAAAAAAAATCAGATTTTTAAAATTTAAATCGGATTTTTTTGATTTAAATCGGATTTTTTTGATTTAAATCGGATTTATTTTAATAAAAAACTTTTGGGGTAAAAATCTATCGTAAGATAGTTTTCTATTTAAGATACATAAATAATTTAGTTTATTCAGCATGAAATGGAGCTTAGTTATGTAGCATGAGGCTGTATATTCTGCAACACTGGGACTATCGGTGAGTCAACAGTGGTCAAAGGAGTAGCAGAGATGACAGTTGCTCTTTAAAAATTATGATTTAAATCAAGTTATTTAAATCAAGCCTTTTTACTAGTGATTTAAATCATGATTTAAATTGTGGTTTAAATCAACTCGATTTAAATCAAATCCACCCTGCTGAGGTATATTCAAAAAAAAAGGAAAGTGGGGAAGGCAATATTGACAAAAAATGTAATTGAATAAAATGTATTTGAATTTAACTAATTGTATAAGATAAGAAACGACCAACACTCTGTTCAAAAAAGAAGAAAAAGAAAAAAAGAAAAAGAAAGATGTGGGTGAAGGTGGGGGAGGAGAAAAGAAAAATACCCAATAAAATTTTTGTTTTTAAAAAAAGGAGTATGGATGTAGGAGAAATTATCCACAGATTCAATAGGGCTCTATCAAAATGGAATCCACCAACAAATACCAATGAAGACAGTTTTCTTGTGTCTGTCATCCCCTGCTGAAATGTCAATCTATGATTTATATGTGGATGCTTAACTCATCACTTGGTCAACATTCTTATTTTTTCTCTTAATATCCACTCCCTAACAAGCTAATTTCAGATCTGGAAATAAGCCTATGGTAGTTTGGGAGAAAGTATTTTGGGAAATAAACAGTAATTGCAAGGAAAGAGATAGATAATATAAAAGAGAACTTGCAATTAAGTATGAGAGTTGCCAGTGTAATGTATAATTTAATTAAGTATAAGTTAAAGACAGTTAGTTTATTGATTTAATAGCAAAAATCTAATAATATTTATTAAACATTTACTAAATACGATATTTACATAACCAATCAACTTGTGCAAGAGAATTATATTATAAAGCATCTTCCCTATCCTGTCCTCCAGAAATTTTAGACTAGAATCCTTAACATCCA